TTTTTTTTTTTTAATATATCTTTATTGATTTCAGAGAGAGGAAGGGAGAGGGAGAGAGAGCTGAAACAGTGATGAGAGTCGTCATCGATCGCTGCCTCCTGCACGCCCTTACCCTATCTTTATAGTTCAGCTACCAGAGCTATACCCCAAAGGAAAGAGTAGAAAGTATGCAAGAATCACAATAAATATCAATTGGGAGGGTTGAACGCCCCCATAATTTCCAACACGGCCTCTCAACTTTTTGAAACGGAAATTTTAACTTTCTCAATCCTATGTAAGGTGCTACAATAAACACAGCAATTCCCTCCTAATCAGAAGCACTAGGTAAAATCTGAAGCTACTCTGGGGAGCATAGTTGAAGCCACTTCTGTGTCCTCCCACACTCGTGCATTCTGATCAGATTAACTGATGTATCAAATTCTCAACATAAGCCTGCTTTCAAGGACTTTAATAGCCTGCTCTTGTCCTAGCTAAATAAGAAATACTTGAGTAAAACCCTTAGTTCAGGTAGTTGTCCCCAGGCAAGCTAATCCAAAACCTCCTTCATCTTCTGCCTGGGCTGCAGCTGAGGCCTTTATTACTCCACAGTAGTGAACCCCTTCTTCTGACCCTGGACCACAGGTGTCCTCAAGGCAAGGATACCTTTCTGTCAAGCCTCAGAATTTTGCCGCCAGCTGTTTCACTCTTGTGAAAGGCTGTCCCTTTTCCCCTAGCCCATTATAAATCTTAGCTCAAGTTTCACCTCCTCCCTAGATTATTACAACCCAAACTTCTCTCTTTTGAGCATAACTACAGCACTTAGTTGAGTCAGAACCTCACTACATGAAGCATGTTATACTTCTCCAATTGTGTTATGCATGGTGATTTCTTTATCCTTTCTAATAAAATTGTAAAGTCAGGAAATTCTGTAAGGGGCTATGTTTGTACTTTCTGTCTCCCTAATGCATATTGATTCAATTTCCCTCTCATTTTTCTTTCTGCCTTTCCACCATATATCTCTTCCTCTTAATGAAATGCCCCATTCATATATACAAGTTTAAGCTTTTTATGTAAGTATTAACCATAATGACTGTGGAGATATTTTCTGTGGCATGGGATGGAATCTTTTATACAATCTGGCTTAGGACTTCAAGATGTCATAATAAATATCTGAATTCGTAACAACACCCATACACAAACTTTCTAGTTCTAGGTTTTGCATATATAATGATGAATGAGATAAGTTTCCTGCCACACTCAAACTTGCGTTCTGTCAGATAGTATAAATGCCAAACAGAGATTTAATCAGGTGATGTGATAAGGAGTGACTGAGGTTGGTTTTTCTTAGGAGGTAATTTATAAGCTGAGAGCTGAATGACAAGAAGCAATTAGCCATGGAAAAATCTGACATAAAAGCATCCCAAGTAGAGAGAAGAGCAACTACTAAGGCTCTATAAGGAAGAAGAGCTCAGCATGTCCAAATAGCAAACAAATAAAAGGACAGGGCTAGATGTTGCAGGCCTTTGTAGACAAGGATATGGAGATTAAATTTTATTCCAAAAGAAAAGGGAAGCCATCTGTCACTGGCAGCCTCTACGATAACCCCACCAGTCCTGCCCTGGTGTAATCCCCTCCCACTGAATATGGGCTGGACTTACTGATGTGCTTCTAACAAAGATAATATGGTCAAAGGGATACAAGTGGTAAAAGTGATGGAGTGTCACTTCAATTAGATTATAAAACATTTAAACAGACATTTCACCAAAGAAGATGTACATATAAAAGTACACAAGAGGGGACCAATGTTATTAGCCATTAGGAAAATGCAAATTAGAAACAGATCCTACTACACAACTATCACAACGTCTGAAATTAGAAAGACTGACCATACCAAGTGTTGGAGAGGATGTGCAGCAAGTAGAAGTCTTAGTACACTGCTAATGTGAATGCAAAGCAGCACAGCCACTTTTGAAAACCCTTTGGTAGTTTCTTAAAAGCTGCCATATGACCCAGCCATTCCTCAGCTAGGTTTTTGCCCAGGAGAAATGAAAGTATGTCCATACGAATACTTGTACATAAAAGTTGATAGCAACTTCATTTGGAATAGCCCCAAATTGGAAAGAACTCAGTGTCCATCACTGGGTGAATGATAAATCATGGTGTGCCCAAATGATTGAATACTATAGTAAATGCAACTTCGGTGCATCTCAGTGATACTCAGTGAAAGAAGCCAGAAAAAAAAAAAAAAAAAAAA